CCATAGGTGGCAGCCATCTCAAGCCAGAGGACGAGAGGACTCTAGCCACCACGCATATAAAGGATTTATAGTGAAAAACTTTGTTTTTACGGGTTATACTTATTACACCATTGGAACCTCATTTGCCAGTAAAAAATATAATTGTTTTTTTACCCTTCTATCTGGCAACAAAACTGACACCTTTTTTTACAAGGAGTCATGTTTGCACAGACCACAATACCTGCAGTCATAATGCAAACAAAAAACACAACTCTGATAATGTATGCACTGTCCTTGAAGTTGATTGGTCCACACCCGAGACAGCTTTCCTTAGAGCCTAGTCTCACATGGGCTGGACCAGATGACGCCAAAAGGCCCCTTTTGGTTTATGCAAACATGACTCCTTGTAAAAAAGGTGTCAGTTTTGTTGCCAGATAGAAGGGTAAAAAAACAATTATGTGCTCGCGTTTGTCAACCATAACGTTCGTATTCAGAGCCCTCTCGAGGCTACGGGTGGAGCTTCGATGTCACGGTGTCAGATGTGTAGAGGTGTGAAGACACTCTATTCGGTAACCTGCGGGGCCACTATGTATTAGAGGGGCAATGCAGTGTTACCGCTCTGGGACCAACGGCCGGGGTCAGGGAGAGGTGAGAGCGGATCGTAAACACGGATTCCTGCCAGACCAACGGCCAGGGGTCAGATGAGGTAAAAGAGAATCGAAAACGCAGATTGTAAAGAACCAATCAGAGGGTCCCACGAGGGAGCGTGGTATTGGATAAGGACCGTTACAAACGGGTATAAAAGGGCGAGCGCGGGGAGCGCCCGGGAGTTCTCCTCACACGAAGACAGAAGCCCGGCTGAAGAAGCTAGGATCCTGGACCAAGCCTTCCAGCTCTTGTAAGAGCTAAGGCTCAGTGTTCCAGTGGTCAAGTGGAGAATAGGTCCTGGCAAGCAGGACCCTGGCTCCCCAGCCTTCCAGCTCTTGTAAGAGCTAAGGCTCTGTGCGACCAGTGGTCATGGGACCCACCGAGCCAGCAGTGGGTCAAGCTAGCCTCCCCTAGGTCACAGCCGGAGGACGCTAGGGTAGCGGGTAGACTGGGAATAGCTCCCGCCAGTTCGGAGGCTGTACCTCCCTAGGCTAGCAGTCAGAGCCATGTAAAGGTCCCACTAGGTACGGAGGCTGTACCTCCTCAGGCTACGGGTGAGGGAACCGGATATCCCTCTGTGTGTGTATAGCGACTGTGTCGCAAGAAAGACAATAAACCAGTGTGTGCCTTAAAGAAGTTTATTCATCTCTTATTACAACACTACAGATGTAATACTTCTGGTTTAATTTGAAGGCGTCGGGGGTCCGGCACAGTGAGATTTACCCTGGGCCCCGCACCTTCCTATCGACAGTCGTGCTCCTATTACAAATATAATCTATGCCTAGAGCTTCCCGGCTGCCTTCTGACTGGGCTCCACTCCACCCCAACCATAACTCTATTGTCCGCAGCTGTGGCCACAGAGCCACCTTCCTTCCATATACCAGGACGTCTTCTCGGTAGAGGCACAGTGTGTATAGGTACGGCAAACACAATCCTTAATATTCTTTAGGTCTTTCGTTAAAGCCACATAGATAGAAAAAATAATAAAATAAAAATAATAACAATATCATGACGTTTCGATCGCAACACAAGCAATCGTCATTAGGTGAAAAAAGAGGGGGAAAGCTGCTGAGGCACGTAGAAAGAAAATAACTTAAATTGTAGAATACGACGTTTCGATTGCAACACAAGCGACCATCATCAGGTAAGAATAAATGAGAAAACAAACCTAGTAAACTTAGAAATATACTGCAATACAACACAGAGAGTCGGCTAACACAACAGTCAACACCCTACGTGGTTGATTACCAGGTAGGTAGAGACACATAGACAGACACACAAGTAGAGAGAGACACACACAGAGGCACACAGAGAAACAACGCCTCTGTTATAGAGGGGGAGGGGGGCAGAGAGAGAGAGGGGGGGGTAGAGAAATTGTGATGCCGCCGCCGCGAAGCCGCTCGGCGGACACCCCATCTACGACCCCGCTTCCCCCTCACCGCCCCCCACATAAACAGACCCTCACACATTTTCCCCCATAGAGCTCCGAGGGGAGGTCTCCTGGCTGGCAGGTTTTTACCCGAAAGCCCTCATAGGGATAATCTTCACGGTTTCCTGCGGCCAGGGAATTGGGCGACCTCCCCCGATGCTAATTCGCACCGCGGTGCTGTGACCCGGGTTGAGATTGCATGGTCACGGCGGGGGCTGTTCAGCTACCACGGTCGAAACGCACCCCCCCACACACACGTATCGACAAGGCAGGCAGGGGTCCGCAATCCACAAACGAACGGCGGGAAAACGGGGCCCCGCCCACTGTTCGACTAGACGACGCAATCCACAAATGAACGGCGGGAAAACGGGGCCCCGCCACCGTTCGATGAGACTACGCAATGCGTCGTGCTAACTGGATTCGAACCGCCCAAAACCAGCCAGAGGACAGGTGAAGCGCTCTGATTGGCCAGCGGAGCGGGACCCCTGTGAGGTGAGGGGGATAAAGAGAGGGGTGAAGGAGGATAGAGAGAGTCTTCTCAAGTCAGCTCCCGGGACCGTCAACTCCCTAGTCCAGCCACTCGAACGCTCGTGCGACGTGTCGACGTGCTGCGAGGACAAGCCGACAGGAGCGTCTAACTGTGAGTAAGAGGAGAGAGAGTGTTGGGATTGAGTCTAGGGAAACCCACACCGCTTAGAGTCCATCAAACTAGATAAATCGGGTACAGACCCTCGGGCGATAGTGTAGGCCTGCCTTGTCGATTCTTACTGACTTAACAGCGAATCGCAATCAGCCGGTAATAAATCTTTAATAACTAATCGTAGCCTCGTGTGGTTTCGACGAGAGTGTGAAAGCGCGCGGTGCTGTGTGTATGTACGCTCACAGCGTGTGAGTGCTGTGCGGGGCTGTGTGAGGGGAGGTGTCGCGTTTGATTGAAGGAGAGGCAACGCAGTGTTAACAGGCGTACGGGAGCCGGCGACGAGCCATGCCTCTCTCGCGAACCCGAGGTGGGGTGACCCAGGGAGGGGAACCGTCAGGCAACAGTCCCTGCCCCGCGAGCGATGAGCCCAGCGGCGGCAGCGGCTGCTCGCACAACAGCGAGGGGTCGGGAAGCGACGGGACCCCTGCAGTCAGAACACAGCAGGAAGAGATCTCGGGGGCTAGTGACCCTCGCAAAATTAGCATGTCAATGAGAGAGTAATGTTGAAATCCTCCCCGTAGCGGGTCGGCTATGTGTAGCTACGTAGAATTTTATATAGATGTATCGGCCAGTGTTGTGCTTAAAGTGTGAGAATAAATAAGAAGCCTTCTACACGACGTGTCTCGGAAGTCGCTCACTACACATGTGAAGTATTTGAAATGACGGCAGGAACTTCTTGACGGGTAACACACTTTTATTAAATCTTGTCGTGTCACAATACAACGTGTGGTTTCTATTCTTTTGTCTATACACTCCACATAACTCGTGTAGACTCTATGCCTCTGGCTACACACAATGCACTTGACTCGTGTAGACCCTATGCCTCTGGCTACACACCATGCATTCAACTCGTGTAGACCCTATGCCTACGGCTACACACAATGCATTCGCCTCTGGGTTACACAGAGTCCCGGTCCCGTTAGGACAGCGGGACTAGGTACCGCAGGGCCCTATCTCTTCGATCCCCGTCTTCATTCTTCGCTGGTTACATACTGCCTTTACGCCTGTGTGCATCCCCTTTTATAGCCCCTGCTCCCGGGAGACGGAGCTGATGCGGACGTCGACGTGAGCATCGCTCCTTAGTTAACCAATGACGACGCGCTATCTCTACGATCCGTTTTCCCCAGCGCGTGTTAACACTACTCAACCAATCACACCGCGCTGCCACCCGATCACTCCCTCTCAGCGCGTCACCGGCACACAGCCAATCAGCACCACGTAACCCACGACCCCGCGCTGACCCCTGATCCTCCACCGTCAGCGCGCGTCACCACATACCCAGCCAATCACTACGCGCTGGCGCACGATCCCTACCCCAGCGCGTATCACCACTACACATGTAAGGACAAAAATGGGAGAAAGCTGAGCTGTAACCACAGGTAGGCACACGATTGGCCACGCGGTACGTGACCTTGGGCTTTTGAAGTCAGGGGGATAAAAGGGGAGCCTGGGGGCAGTTGGAATGGTTGTTCTTCAATATCTTGGCAGTCAAGACCCCTCCAGCGCATCCTGCCTTCTCCAGCCGCTCGCAGGGTCTGTGTGACACCAGCGAGTGCCGCTACTAGCTACGTGGTACAACGCTTGAGTCAGCAGGAGTCTAGACGGCAGTAAGCTAGGCTCTTCTCGCAAGATGTTCCCCCCAAGTAGTGGCGACTGGGCAGCTTAATTTAAGGGAGTGCGGTTTGCGCGGAGAATAAAAGTTAGCACAGAGCATAGTTGTGGTGTCTGTGATTTCTGTGTGGAGCGACTGCGTGTGCAAGCCGAGTCCCGGGGTAGCGGTAGGGGAACGCGCGGCGAGAGTGAATGCGGGGCCGCGGCGTGCGTGCGCGTTAAGAGGTAATCGCTCGCATGTGTGAGCGCGTTCACGGCCCCCTTTGCAATAGTTGCGTTGTGCACGGGCGTGTAGTCTAACTCCGTGTGGCTCTAAAGCTAGTAGCACGAGTATGTCCCTCAGAGAGGGCGCTAGCGCAGGGGGCGCCATCATTCAGTCAGCAGGGGTCCAGCGGGAGCCAACCAACGCGTTGGAGGAGGGAGTGGAACGGGCGGACGTCACGCCCCACCTGCTTAGCGAGGGCGGTGGGGTTGGACGTCGGTGCCCACATCCTCTCTCATTGCATCTCCCGAGAAGTCATTCCTTCTGAATTTCTCACCATCACCACCACTTCCAAAAAACACAGAAAACATACTTTTTTATATGTATTATTTATTGTAGTCATTGTCATTAAACATTTACAATTTCCTCCCTGTGCTCACTCGTACCAGGAACGTAACCCTATTTTTCCCGTTGAATAAGGTATCTGAATTCGCGAATTCTAAATTTGCGAGCATTGTAAAGAATCTAACGCTCGTGAATAGAGGGGGTTTACTGTAGTAGTCATTCACCATGTATATAACATTGTCCTGGCTTTTGTTCTCTGCAGCCCATGTAAACTCTCCCTTCCCATGTAATATGGTGGCTAGTGTTGTCCCAGCCATGCTACGTTTGGGTCACTATTGAAAGACAACTTCCTAGCTCAATGGGCTTCACCCGAAATAAACTGACAAACCGGTTCTTCCAAATTCAGTTTAGAAAGGAAAGACATTTTTTTGTTAAAAGCCAACATTGTCGATGTTGCCGAGTCAGCGTTAGTCTTGTCTTTGTGAACGAGCGGGCGTCACGTGGTCAAAGCCACGAGGTCAAAGCCACACCGTCACGCTCCGTGGCGTCGCCGGTACAGGAGAAAGCCGCCGCAGAGCGACGGCCGTTTCCACCGAGGGCTGTCAGCGGCAGATCTCATTTCTGTCAATTCACCGTGTCTGGGGAGAGACAAAGAGGGACGGAGAGTTGAGGGGGCAATGGCTGTGGTGGTGATGGTGGCTGTGGCTGGAAACACGGCACTGTGGGTGTCGTGGGGTGTCCTATATGCAGGGGAGGGGTACCATTCCGATTGGGAGCGGTAGTGTAGTGGGTTAGTGCGCTGCGTTACAATACCGGCGACCCAAGTTCTATTCCCGCTAGTGGCAAACACCAGTGACGATTATCTGAACCGATCCTGGGCCCTCCCCTTGGTCGACTCAGCCTTAAATGAGTCGCTGCGGCAGTGTGTAAACATCGTCACTGAGGAGACAAAGGTGACCAGGCATAGTGTTGGCCACCAACCCTGTTGTGTGCCTTGCATTTGACTCCTATATCCTTGTCTGTTTACACATACATATAAGTCATCCTGTATCTGTTTAATACTTAACTAACTTAACTTGTAATTGCGCTAAGATCAGTATAAATGAATCTCGATCCGAGCTGAGTTATGCAACAGGGATTTAGGATGTTAACATTGCTTTATGTTTGTGTGATATTTTACATTTCTCATGTGACGCAGTTGTTTCTATTTGCTTTGTTTGCTGTACTTTATTATTTGAAATAGATTTTGTCATTTTGGTGACCTAGGTAAACTTTGGCAAATGAGACTTCTAGTCTCTTGTGTTCCCACCTAGGCATTCTCTCACCCATCACCTCGCCATCTCACTGATCCACTCACTCATTCACTGTGCATATGACACTCGTGCTACTCGCTTGAGCTCCCACCTTGTTAATCAAAATAAACTTGAAACGTGTAGGCCACCCCAAACTTGCCACGTGTGTCTGCACCGCTGGTGTGTGGAGTTGTGACACCTGGTCGACTCAGAGGCTCCTGAAGGAAGCCATCCTCACCAGGCTCAGGGGAGAACTCCACGTGCCATCCCTTAGTCGTTAGCAACAAAAGTAGAGGCCTGTTGTGGGGCCTTCTTTTGTGTGAAGACGGGGGCAAATCGCCCCTTTTACACCCCCGACCCGCTCCCACCACCATGGGAAGCCCTGTGTGTGAGCAGAGACACCAGGCACATCACTCATCCAGGTGAGCAGGTTGGCGCATTCCACCCGCACACAAGTAAGGTGCCGAGTCACGATGACATACGAAGTAAAACATCGGCTCGAAGGAGGCTCTGGAATCACTCTGTGCCTGGAGCTACGTGGGGCTGGGCCGGGTGAAACCAGAGTCAGATTTAGTGGCTGCGGGACAAGGCGGGGGGCAAACGGGATATTTGTGCAGGGCCCAACGCTGCATAGGGAACCACAAACAACAAAAAAGATTCCCCATTTAAGACGGAGTCCACTTGTTTTCACAGGAAAGGTTCAGTAAGCCTCAAGATAATAATAATAATGCAATTTGTAATGCACACGATATTTTCCCGACGTAAATAACTGCGACTGAGGCGCTGAGCGTGGCTCAGCGTCGCTCTAAAGCCACACGAGAGAGAGGTGGAGCCTCTAAAAAGTCAGGCAAAGATTGAACGCTGCTGCTGCGAAACGTGTAGGCCACCCCAGATGGATGGAGCTGCCACAGAGAAACGTTACCCGGCTGTGCCGGTCCTGCTGCTTGGTGTGGACAGGAGGTTGTGAGTTGTAGTGCAAGATGATGGGCGTGAAGAGAGAGATACGGTAGACAGACCGAAAGTAGAGATGCGGTGGCGCAGGCAACTGATCTTGTAGCTGGCCCTGGTGGTGGTAAGCCAGCGGAGGGAGTGGAGGGAGGTGAGGAGGGAATCCAGATGAGGATGGCAGAGGGGCCGAGGACCTAGCAAGCGAGATGGTTTTGCAACGAATGGAGTTTCTTGAGGTTACATAATTTTTTTTTACGATTTTATTTATTAGGTAAAGCCGACTGAGATATTAGCTATTTTTCAGCAGCAACCTGGCCACAAATGATAGCTCAACGAGGTGGCTTATCATGTGGAAATGTTTATAGCATCCACATAATTTAAACGCATCTTGATTCTTAATGTGGAGAAAAATCCACGCGACCACGGGGTGTGAGAATATGCAGGGTTGGGACCGAACTCATAAACCTCCTACATACTAGGCGAGAGAGATAACATCTCACCACCGTGGTGCCCCTGATACCAAAGTCAAATTCCAGGAGGCCAATAAGGAGAGAGTGGTTCACGCTGCCGATGGCTGCAGAGACATCGAGGCTAACGAGTGCGATGATGAGTCCACAACGGAGAGATCTGTCATCGATGAGTCTTGTGAGTGCAGTACCAGTGGAGTCGGTGTAACAGAAGGTGTGAACTTGCAGCAGTCGACGTTGGGAGAGGAGGCGATGTGGGCCTTGAGCTGGACGAGGGAGGGCACTGCTTTCCAGGAGTTTTAGGGAGTTTGTAAAACACGTTTTTTAAAAAATAAGTTAATAATTTTCTGTGTAATTATAGAAATGTGAGAAATCCGGATGGACGTTGGCGTGTTTACTGGGGATTTAGGAGGAATACTTTTAGAACGGCGTTATTGAGGTATAGTGGTCTGCAAAACTTGAGGGTTGACTGAGAGTGAGTGGTCCGCGGGTTGAGCAAAAGGTTGACTTAGCCAATGATGTAGGCCTTGCTGTCTGATGTAACTGGACGTTATGTATCCAGCAAACATCGAACGTTGGGCCATCGTTGGGCTAACGTTCGCCCAACGTTCAATATTTACCGGGTAGCAGTTGCCTGCGGTATGACAATCTGGCAGCAGAGGGGGCCCAAGGGAGATTGGGAAGGACTCCCTGCACCTGTGCACACAACCTGTGGCGTCGTCCATTGCTCTTTGGTCTCGTCCCGTATGTGGAGCGGTAGTGTAGTAGGTTCACGGTCACCAACACCAGTGACGATTATCTGAACCGGTCCTGGACCTCCCCTAGGTCGACTCAGCCTCAAATGAGTACATGCCCCCTATCGCACGCACACTCGATCACCACCTAGCACCCGCTCACCCAAGCACGAAACGATACACCCGCTCACCTACCCTACCCTCTCACCTACCCACCGACTAATCCACCCACCTCATTCATCTAACCAGTCGCTCAACTCGCCTACTCCACTCTCGTACTCACCAATTCCACCATATACCCTACTCACTTTCGCCACTCCCAACTACCCACTCACCTACCCCATCATCCCACTCACCTACCCTTCTCTCACACTCAACCTACCAACTCACTCATCCACACACACACAACCCTAATACCACCCACTGCCAGCACCGTCCCACTCACCAACACACTCGCCCATTCACCAACACACTCGCCCATTACCCCTCCCCACCCTGTCACTTAACCTCGGTTTGTCCTCTCCGCCGCCACCCACAGCCCCCTCCCTGCTTGACGCGTTTCCGCAGGGAGGCCACTGGAGGGGGCCGAGGGAGGGGCCCCGTGTGGGGGCTGCGGTTTAAGTGATGAGTGCGTGACACATTGGCCACCAGCCCTGCATTGCCACCGCCACCACCACCTCATCCTCATCCTCCTCCTGCTGCTGCTGAGCAGGTGAGCCGCGTGCCTTGTGGGAAGGACAGCATTGAGTGGTTGGCTGGGTGAGTGGCTAGCCTGGGTGTAGTTTGGTTGCTCGGGTTGGTGGTTGGCTGGGTAAGTGAATGTGTCGCGGCGTGGGTGGTTGGCTGATACGCTGGATGAGTGTGTTGCGATGTGAATGGTTCGCTGGTGAGCTGAGTATCCGCGTGCTTGAGTGAGTGCGTTAGTGGCTAGCTAGGTAGCTGAGTGCTTGAGTGAGTGCGTTAGTGGTTAGCTAGGTAGCTGGGTGCTTGAGTGAGTGCGTTAGTGGCTAGCTAGGTAGCTGAGTGCTTGAGTGAGTGCGTTAGTGGCTAGCTAGGTAGCTGGGTGCTTGAGTGAGTGCGTTAGTGGCTAGCTAGGTAGCTGAGTGCTTGAGTGAGTGCGTTAGTGGTTAGCTAGGTAGCTGGGTGCTTGAGTGAGTGCGTTAGTGGCTAGCTAGGTAGCTGAGTGCTTGAGTGAGTGCGTTAGTGGCTAGCTAGGTAGCTGGGTGCTTGAGTGAGTGCGTTAGTGGCTAGCTAGGTAGCTGAGTGCTTGAGTGAGTGCGTTAGTGGCTAGCTAGGTAGCTGAGTGCTTGAGTGAGTGCGTTAGTGGCTAGCTAGGTAGCTGGGTGCTTGAGTGAGTGCGTTAGTGGCTAGCTAGGTAGCTGGGTGCTTGAGTGAGTGCGTTAGTGGCTAGCTAGGTAGCTGGGTGCTTGAGTGAGTGCGTTAGAGGCTAGCTAGGTAGCTGGGTGCTTGAGTGAGTGCGTTAGAGGCTAGCTAGGTAGCTGAGTGCTTGAGTGAGTTGGTGGGTGAGTCGCTGGGGGAGTGAGTGGCTGCGTGAGGACACCACACTGTCTCGTTGTTGTTGAGTTCTTCAGTAAAGTCTCCTGTGCTTCTTGACTTTGCTTTAATTTACATTTCCTGTATTTCTGTTTCTATCTCGCTCGCAGTGGTGTTATCTCTATTTCAAACCTCTGCCGCCTGTTATGAAGAAGGTACAATCCGTTACAAAGCTTGAGGATTGGTGTAATGTTGAGGTTTGCCAGGTACTGTACTTTATTTCCAATGCTGCAATTAACTTTCTTAACCCGTGAAGCATTACCGAGGCTCAAGACTCCTTTTCAGGAGGGTTGTGCGGCCGACTGAATGATGCCCCCCACCCCGCGCTAGCACCCTCTCTGAGTGACACACTCGTTCTGCTGGCTTGTGGCCACACGGAGTTGGACCACACACCCGTGGAGGTTGTGGCGCTGCGATCCCATAATCTCATGGTCTGCCCTTCTCGCTTATTCCACCCCAGCCTCTCCCGATGTCGTGAATGACTCATTGCGGTAAACCTTTTTGCGCCCATACACTATTAAGCCTACTCAGGGGCACCGCAATGTAACCTGTCCTGGGAGGGTCGGTCAATCCCCTGGTACCGGAAACCTTGGGACTTTCTTCATAGGTACCCTTCGGATTAAAACCCATTGTGCCAAGCAATCCCCCGCCAGGACACTACGTGTGTGCGCTGCATGTGTGTGCTCAGTGCTGGGGCCAGCGGGGGGGGGGGGGGGGGTCGCAGGTGCTTGCAGAGTGGATTCGAGGCCGTGGCACCACAGGGTCCTCTTACATTGGGATGTTTGGCCAATCCCATGAGTAATTGAGCGTTTTCAGTTTAGAGAGTTTGGCTTCATGTGGGAGGAACATTTTTTGCTGTTACCCAAAGACAACCCACCACACTTGCAGAGGGTGTAACACTTTGGAGATTCGCACGGATAGGTTCAAGAATCTATGGTAGGAGCGAGTGGTCTTTCTAAGCCCCAGGGGGGCAATTAGGGTGACCGTTTGGTGCTAAAAGTAACCGTGGACCCGGCACATACAAGCGCCTCACAGCCATCGCAGGGGTCATCGCCTTGCGCCCTTTCCACCAGGATCAACGTGCGACCCCAACCCCTGTGTACATTTATGTTAACGTTAATTAATTAACAGAAATATGTTGTTCAACAAAGTCAGTTTCCGAGGGAGTAATGCCCTCAAAACCTCTGCACCAATGGATTCATAATCCATTGCTCTGCTTCCCAATATTCCGACCACCTCGTGGCTGGCGCCTACCTCACCGGTGACTGCACCCAGAGCCGTTCCGAGGGTCCGGCGAATCGGGGCGATCATCCTGGGCCCCGCACTTTGGAGGGCCCCGCGTTTTCATGTCACGGTATCAGATGTAATACGTCAGGCCTCGTTTGAAGGCGTCAGGGTGGGGATGGCACACAGCGAGATTTGCCCTGGGCCCCGCACCCCCTTATGGACGAGCCTGACTGCACTCGGTAGTCTACAATCCAAATGTACATCCTGGCTCTACCTCCGCTCGGCTTGCAAGATCCCACGAGATGGGGCGCATTCAGGGGTGATTTGTTCGCAGACCATAGGAACGTGACATTTATAGCGCTGATTCGGGCGCAGGTCAAATCTCCCCAAGACATTTGTTAATGTGGACTTTGTTACCTAAATATATCTGTATCAGCTCGTTAAGTACTGTACATATGTAGTGACTGACTTGGAGCCATAACTTCTTGGAGGCAATTCTTTAATTAAACACCAAGCACACTGTTACACACTCTCTGCAGTTACACAATGCTCTGTCTCTCGCTTAAACGCAACGTTACACTGATTGCTAGCCTACAACACAACGCTAGCCATCTGACACTGACGGCGCTGAACTAAGACAGCCAACTACTGCTAGCTGCGCAATATCAAGTGGACGATGACAGTGACGAAGGCACGAGACGACAGCGGCGAAGGCAACGATCTTTAACAGCAACGACGACGGGGATCTCACTCCAAACGACGGCCTGATCTCCCACTCGGGGTCCCCTTTTATCCTGTTAGCGTGGCCTCGCCTGCGCCCCGGCCACTCTCCCCTTCTGGAACCTACGAGCAGACTCTCGACGTGTCCCTTCCGTAACCTTTACCCTAGATCCCTCTCGGTTCTATCGCGTGGTCTGCTATCAATCAGGGCTGCTTCAGGCTGCAGATCCCCTTCCCTGCCAGCAGCCAGCGCTATGCTACGTAGTGACCAATTCTATGTCACTACACATATATGCAAAGTGAGTGCACCGGGTACATTAAATTAGTTCAGTTGACTCGTTCAGGGTACAGTGACATTTTCTTTTAAAGCTCTTTCAGAAGTGACCTGGCCACAAATGATAACACAACAAAGTAGTTTATCATTTGGAAATGTATAGCAGCCAAATAATCTAAACACATGGTGGAGGGGAAAACCGGAGGGCCCGGAGAAAAATCCATGCAACCACGGGAAGAGATAACATGCAAACTCCAAATTTATAACAGGGTGGGGATCGAACCCACAAGCTCCTTCTCATATCAGCCAAGGAAGATTACAATTCGGCACTGTGGCGCCCTATAGATATCTGTATCTGTATAAGCTCGTTCAGTACATATGTGCTAATTTGTTCAGTTGACTCGTTTAGTGTACGGTGACATTACAGTACTTGCTTGTGTAAGACAACCCGGCTCAGCACTCCTTAAGTGAACTCCATTACGGCCGCAGAATAAATATTTAAGGGATTATTTTCCAGATAATCCAGATTAGTACCTGGTGCAACTTGTCAACATCACCATGAGGAAGACAAGGGCGGGTGGGCGGGCGTGGCGCTGGCCACATCGCTTCCCGTGTGTCATGCCGGCCTTCATAGGTGCTCGCTAACAGCACTTGCTGCTTCAGTCTGTTCAGGCTATACGGGGGATCTTTGTCTTTGTGTGTGCACTTATGCTGGTGCGTCTGTGCGTACGTGCTTGCATGTGTGTCACATATGCTCGCTGGACTTTGGATCGATGTGTCTCTAGTGAGCAGGATGTCGTCCATTGTGAACGTGCCGACTCTCCAACACTCGCACTAAAATCGATCGTTATAAGGTTCACAGCGCCACTCCGCATGGCGGTGAGCGATCGTAAACTCTCATTACCTTGAACACCAAGCCAGCACCTCTGTGGTTCTAGCTTGGAATCCCAGCCTCGACACAGATATTGTCCTTCCCCCACACCACCGATGAGCATAGTTGGCTGGGTATGGTGTGAAAGAAGGTCAATATACATACAAGCATCTTCCTGGTGAGTTCTTTCCTTGCCTAGAATTGTTTAGATGTTTTAACCCCAGCCTAACTGGACACAGACCAAATGCTAGAATTTATCCCTCCAGTTTTACATCGTATATTCTGATATCCACACTTGTATTCCAACTTGTGCTGTTGGCATTGCCATGTGACAAAGAACATTTATTTTTTGCAACTCTGCAGGTGAGCAGTGCATCACCTTGCGTCAGTGAACGGCCCGAGAACATGACAACGCAGAGCTACCACTGAAGTCGCTTCTCTAGGCCTCTCTATTCGCACTAGGGCCTCACTTTTTTATTGTTCGTCGCATGTCAATCAAACCTGAATATTTAATTCTCAGAGCTGGATTTGAACCCAATTAATTGAAAAGCCAACTTTAATATGACTGTGTTTGTTTGCATTCATTTGTGGCTGAGCAGAGAGCATCAGCTCACTACACACTCGCACCACCGAGTGCCCCCCCTCGCTGCCACCGTCACTCCCCCCAGCGATGGCTGCGCTGCGCACGCTCGCCCTCCGCCGCGCGGCTGGGGCCCTGGGAGCCGCCCCGCTGCACGGGCCGGCCTCGTCCCGCCATAGCGGCCAAGCCGGCGTCTCCTCCTCCCCCTCCTCGTCCGCGTCATCAGTCGGCGAGCGCCGGAGACTACTACGACGTGCTGGTGATCGGCGGAGGCACGGGCGGCATCACGATGGCCGCCCGCATGCGGCGCAAGCTGGGGTCCTCGGGCAAGGTGGCCGTCATGGAGCCGAGCGAGGTGCCCGATTCACGGACGCGCCGCGATTGCCTCGCGCACCCCGGTTCGATTCGTGGCTGCGGTGCGAGCGAGGATCCCCGTGCGCCCACACGCGGCCGGTATCGGCACGATCGCGTTGGCATGATGGACACGAGATGAGTGCCGCAGTCCCAGTGGCAGGCGGTGGTGTCTGAACCCGGATGGGTACTTGCCTGGGTCGACTTGGCCTAACATAATGAGTACCTGGTGCAGAGTGTGAAATTATGTCCAGTCAATAAAGGTGGCCGGGCGTGGTGCTGGACACAGCCACCATTGTTGAGCACCCGGCCGACCATTTATAGGTGCTCGCTAACAGCATTTGTTGTTAGCGAGTACCTATTAAGGCAGTATTTTAGTTTAGTTTTTATACAATTAAGTGCGTGAACCGCTGCGCCACCACTCCACAAACATGATAATAACTATTATTTTCATTTACCAGTGTAATTCATGCAAGTTGCATCTCACAATCATTGGTGGAGGATTTGTAACGTGCATAGTTTCCACACGGAGGGGAACGAGCGAACAATTTGCAGACAAATGGGAGAGGGAAGGCAGCCGGAACCAACGCTACCAACAATTGCCCAAGCTCTGTGGTCCTATATTGTGATGTTTGGCCATGTGTATATATATACACAAGTAAATAATAATATTAATAACTCTAGGACGGGTAACGCCAGCTTCCAGCAAAACCCGGTACAAAATCTTAATCTTTATAAGAATCAGCATCTTTATTTAGACTAGAGGAATCCGATGAGCTATGAAGCTCTTTTTCATACTTGTCCAGTCGGGGCATGGAGTCAGCAACTTACAACAACAAGCAATACATAACACCACCACTTTCACCACCATCATCTCTCCCATCCAGCACCACCACCACCACCAAAAGACAAAGATCCCCCATATAGCCTTAACAGACTGTTGGGGCAAGTGCTGTTAAGTGAGCACCTATGAAGACCAGCACGACACGCTAGGGGGTGTGTAGCCAGCATCATGCCTGGCCGCCTTTGTCTCTCTAGTGGCGATGTTTACACACTGCACCAGGTACTCATTTCAGGCTGAGTTGATCTAGGACCAGTTCAGATCATCATCACCAGTGTTGACCACGAGCAGCAATTGAACTTGGGTAGCTGAGTTCATAGTGCAGCGCGCTAACCACACACCACCGCTCCCTACCACCACCACCACCACCATCCACCACGGTACCCACCCGCAATCCTCCGTCTCATCCTGGGATTTATTGCTTCCGCCCTCCCCCCCCATCCTACCCATCCTGCCCCCCCCCCACCATGGCAGATGCACTACTACCAGCCCATGTGGACGCTGGTGGGTGCCGGTGCGAAACGCTTCGGGCAGTCGGGCCGCTCCACAGCTTCGGTGATACCCAGTGGAGTGAGCTGGCTGCAGGAGCGCGTCGGCACCTTTGAGCCCGAACAAAACCGTGTGCGCACTGTCAGCGGGGCGCAGGTGAGTGGGGCGAGTGTGGATAGGCGAGATTGGGTATTGGTGAGCGTGTGAGTGAGTAAGTGAGTGGGCAAGTTTGTGGATGGGTGGATCAGTGAGTGAGCAATCGGGCAGGTTTGTGGGTGGGTGAGTGAGCTAGTGGGCAGGTTTGTGGGTGGGCGAGTAAGTGAATGGGTGTATGGGTTTGGGTGGGTGGGTGAGTGAGCGAGTGGGCATGCTTGTGGGTGGGTGAATGAGCGAGATGTGAGCCGCAGGTAATGCCGATGCCACCGCTCATGTTGAAACCTGGCAAAAACAAAACTCTTCGCTCTTGTCTCCGCAGATCAACTACAAGTATCTGATTGTGGCAATGGGTATTCAACTCAACTATGAGCAGGTGAGAGGCCGAGCATCTATATTCGTGTACATGTATGTGCGTGTGTGTGTGACAAACTGGCAAGGGAGATGGACTGATGTGGTTCAAAAGGATGTGGAGCTGATTGGACTTGTTGATGACTGGCACAAGCAGTGTCAAGATCAGCCTCTGTGTAGGTTCGTGAAGGATGTTGCTGGGCAGTTGGAGGCAGTTGCCCTCCAGCAACATCAGAGAGCAGGGGAATCCTGATCACAACAACGAGCAGAGCACCGGGCCGCTAAAATGCTGAAATTTCGCAGTTTGGGGATCATAGTTGGTGCATCTGCCAGTCATCTCAGTCGGTCAACCCATGGCACCTGGGTCTGGTCTGTGACATCGTGCCATTGGGCCTTTGACACTTCACATGGCCTCAAAGTGCACCTAGCATGGCACAAGTACATTGGTGATGTCACTATCACTTAGAGGCGAATGGCAGCTGTTGTTGCTGTTGTGGTACCCAGTGTTATCACAGGCCACGTGCAGAATCACCAGGTGGGCGGCTCAGCGGTACAGCGAGCGACTCGCAATAGGAAGGTCGCGAGTTGAACTCCTGCTTGGGGGTTGACTCTGCCCATCATTGCTCCCTCCAAGGCCAATGAATTGAGGCAACAGTGGCTGTCTTATGGACAGACTCGCCCACACCATATCAATATGGAATTTCAGGGCTGTAAAGAGGAGATGAGCGCCAATTCCTCAATGCTCAGTTTAGCAGGAAATTACTTAAATTTGTTGTAAATAGAATACAATAAGTGGAAGGATGGGGATCTCATCTTGAAATGCACATGATGCTGGGATACCTGGTATGTTGAAGGAACCTTTTGGTATTTAGGTGGTGATACAGTTGAGCAGTAGCGTTTTTGCCGCTTGTTGCAGAGGTTAGTAGTTCCAATCCAGCAGGCTTCCCTGGTTAACGTTGCGGGCGTATTAGCCATACAATATATATGCTGTCTGCTTCGCAGTGGACGTTAAAGATCACGTGACATCATTGAAAAGAACAGACAAAAGTCCAATTTGAAAAGAATTACACTGAAAATTACTCGAGTAGAATTACACGAGGCACCATGGCCCACTTCTGGCAAACTAATGCCAGGTACCGACCCTGTGCCGCACAGGGACAGCTGCCACTGGGGGTGCCCTTTTACATGTGCTGAGATGAGATGCAATGCACGTCACTTAGAGTTTCTGAAGCATTTAAGCAAGTGCTGTGTAAATACAATGATTATATTATTGAGAGTCAACTCAAAAATAAGCGTGTGCGGATTTATCTGGAGTTTCACTTTATTTGGGCCATCCCTCTTCCTTCCTCGTCTCCCCTGACACTCGTAGGCATTGTGACGGTTGGATCACCGTGATCTGTGGATGTTCCGCCATGTCGCCGAAGGGTTGGCGATGTCCGTAGGTTTTTTTTTGTCCTGGGCATTTTGACGTGCGTGTGAAACCACTCCGGGTGGTTGAACCTGTTCGGCGTCCCCGAGTCGTCGAGGACAGGCGTAGCAGCCGGGGCTCTTTGGGCCCAGCTCGGAGGCATTCGCAGCTGACGCGGATCCGCGGCCATTGTGTGTTTAGTTTGTTGTCCTTCCCTTGCACCTCCGATTAGCACGGTTGGCTACGTACAGTGCAAAAGAAGTTCCACATACGTACATAGCCACGAAACTGGCAGTACAAAGGAGGCAATATAAGTGAGACAATAAAAGAGTGACAGTACAAAAGAGACAGGTGTGTCAGCCATGGGGGTTGTTTGATCATACTCCACCACGCTGATCAGTGCGGTGGATTGCATAAAATATAAGTACTTTATTAATAATATAGAAAATATATTCTTACACTTGAAATGTGGTGCATAGCTCGTGAGCTGAGGAATCGACATTGTGTCAACGTGTCGTGCCGGCCATCGTAGGTGCTCGCTAAAAGCACTTACCCCAGGAGCATGTTGAGACTATACGGTGGATCTTTGTCTTTTACTCCTCCGGGTAGAGGCAATAAAACTATATCGCCACCCTTTAAAGATTCTCAACGAGCTCCGACTGAGACACTCGCAGGAGGACAGGACCCTCCTGAAACTAGTCACGAGACTCAGGGTGGAAAAAATGTGTGCAAAGAGCACAACTGTGCAAAAAGAAACGATCAACATTCCTTGAAGCAGTGCTTTGTGATCCTCTAAAAGTGATTTTCTGCTGCATTGTAATTATTTGAGCTCAGCTGTTTGTACTACACCAGGGAAAGTAAGGGATCTGTTCTGTGAACAGTGGTTCAGGGACAGCAGCAACAGGGAGCATGTGTTCTATTATGTCATGTACGAAGGCTGGGGGCTGTTGCCATTTGTAAATTCACCGACAAACCTACCCAGTCACCCATCTACCGTCCCACTGACCCACCACTAATCAAATTGATCAATTATCACGATTCTGGGTTGTGGTCTAAATATGTTTTTAATGATTTAGTTGCTGTAATTTTAACCACTTCCAACCATCATAACCACAATCACCGCAGCAATAATCTCCACAATCACAACTACCAAATCACCACAGCAACCACTACAGCCACAACCACCATCACAACTACCACCAAAACCACCACAATCACTGTAAACACCACGGCCACAATCACAACCAAAAATAAAGGCAAATATCCTCTTGTAGCCTTAAACTGTCGGATCAAGTGCTGTTAGCAAGCACCTATGAAGACCGGCAAGGCACACGAGGGGCTGAGTGACCAGCACCACACCCAGCCACTTTTATCTCTCTAGTGGCGATATTTACACACCGGCTAAGTCGACATAGGGGAGGCGCAGGACCAGTTCAGATAATCGTCAATGTTGTTAGCTGTGGGCGGGAATCAAACTCGGGTTTACCGGGTTTATAGTGTGGCGCGCTGACCAATAAGCCACCGCTCCCCACAATCGACACCACCACAAACGCCACAACCACCGGACTACGGTCAAGATCACTTGGCCGGCCCCTCCACCCCCTCCTGCATTCCTACCCCCGGGCTGCCTTCCTCCCGCACCCCTGCCATGGGCCCCCCTTACTCCGCCTACCTCTGCTGACCCCCACACCCCAGTCGCCCTTCTCCTCGCTGCACGCAAAGCAACAACACCGACTTTGCCAAGTCACGGTGACTGCCACGGCCGGGGCTCAGCTCCCGGCGAGGCTTGGGCTCCTCTTTTTCGTTAGCGCCCCTCCTCGTCAAATCCCCGTTCCCACCCCTCCTCTCCTCGCCGTGTCACCTCGATTCCCTCCTCGTGTCAGGAGCAGGCGTGGTGCCATGTGCTGCTAGGGTTGTGGCGAAGGATAAGAGTGTTGGGTGGTGAGGGTTGCAGTGGTAGGGATTGCGTTGTAATTGTGAGGGTTAGAGAAAAGTGACGCGGTTATTGTTCGGCTTGGGATTATGATTAGCATTGGGTAGGTGGAGAGTAAGTTTCTGAGTTGGTGTTAGGGTTCGAGCAAGCGTTTGCATTATATATCTAGATTTAGTATTGCTGTGAGGCTTTGGGGTTATGATTAGTCTTGAGGTTAAGGTTCGTGTCCAGGCATGCATTGGGTTTAGTGTAATGGTCGGGTGAGTGCTGGAGTTTAGACACCGTTGGGAAATCCCACAGTTGGGACACACATGCACACAGGGACACAACAACACCAATAGCCTCGGAGACTGACGCTGAGAGATTAAAACGCACATGCAGGGACACGAGGAAATACTCGCTCAAGGACACGGGGACACTTACTCAAGGACACGGGGACAGTCTGCAGACACAGGGACACACGTGTGCACCCACACACACCCACAGGCAGGCGCATCCAGATACAAACTGGTTCCAGATATGATTTGTTTCTGTGTTGAGTTAAACCTCTCACTGGCCTCACGTCAATCCTCACACTTTTACCTCCGACAGCGGAGCGGTAACACTCGCGTCTCAATAGCAAGAAGTGCCTGGGTTTGATTCCCGATTGGGGCGCCTTTCTGCGTGTGAACTTTGTATTCTCTCCGCCTGTTGTGCGTGGGTTTCCTTTGGGTTCTCTGGATGATTCCTCCCATAGCTAAACGCACACACGTACAAATGTTATCGATATCGGCCAAAACCATCCCAATGCTGAAAAATACATTGAAAATTACTGAATTAGGACCACGCAAAGTAGCAACATCGCCCCCTCCTACAGAAACTTGCAAGGACCCTCCTGAAAAAGAGCCTTGGTAAACGAACCTGGTGATGATAAAAATACAAAAACTTATCTGTTAATATAAGCAGCGAATAATTAGCAAAGTTCGCAGCAGCAAGTGAATATAAATTATTGTTTATTTAACATTTTTAAATGTGTATGCATGTCATTGCGTGATAGCTATGTGTGTGTATGCAAGTCTGTATTCTTAGTGCAGCGGTTAGTGCACCACGCTATGAATCCAGTTACCCGAGTTCGATTCCCACTCATGGTCAACACCATTGATGATTATATGAATTGGTCTTGGGCCTCCCCTAGGTCGACTCAGCCTAAAATGAGTACCTCGTGCGGTGTGTAAACATAGTCACTCGGGATACAAAGGCGGCCTGGCGTGATGCTGGCCACCCATCCCCTCATGTGCCATTCCGGCATTCATAGATAGAAGCTCGCTCACAGCACTTTCCCTAAGTGTATGTGAAAGCTAAACGGAGGATGTTTGTCTTTGTATTTGCATATGTGTACGTGTCATTGGGCGTTTGCTATGTGTGTGCATGTGAGTGTATGTATGTGTGTGAGTGCGGAGCAGTAGCGCACTGTGCTACAAACCTAATTCTAAGCCAACACCAATGACGGATTATAATCTAAGTCCTGGACTTCCCTAGATTGAATCAGCCAGACATAAATACCTGATGTGGCATGCAAACATCAGCACTGGCAAACAAAGGTGCCGGTCACCCACCTCCTCGTGTGCCGTGCTGGTCTGCGTCGGTGCTACTTGCTAACAGCACTTGCCCCAAAATTATGTTAGGGCTATATGGGGGATCTTGGTCTTGTACATGGCATTCCATGTTGGCTATGTGTGAGTCAATCATAATACATTTGTCAATACATAATTGCGTATCCGTTTCTTCATGAAACATGTTTATGTGGTTTAGGTGAGGCTTTGACCATTTGAGTAATTCCACCCTACATTTTCCTCACTGTATGCGTAAAAATGTGTTTTGCGAGGTCAAATTCAGCACTGTCAACATCATGGATTATGTCTAGAAACACGATGCAACTGTTTCACTTGGTCCATCAGCCTATGGGGCCCTCAGAGCCAATATTTCCCAGTAGTGATTGCTTTTAATCACCCTGCCTGCTGGGAAGACCCCAGCAAGTCAAAACCGGCGTAGATTTTTGTCACCATGAACTAAATGCTGCTGGAAAACGTAAGCTTGGAAGGACAAGAGGCTAACGGACTAAAATAAAGATTAAATTGTAAGCGTAGGTACAGACATTGGCAATTTATTTATTCACCCATGATTCTCCAATTACGGGTGGAGCAATGGAGATTTTTTTAAATAAAACACGCAGAACATATTATTTTATGACCAGATTTTTTTCTGGGTGTTGTAATGTTAAAATTTAGCAGAACCCATTCTTGCTGGTGTGTTTACAGTTGCGGTGTTGCATTAGCGGTGACGTAATCACTAATGAAGATGACGCCATGCCAGTGGCCCAGATGTTGGAGATTCTAAGGTGGCACCGCCTCAAGGTTTAAACCCAGCGGTTATTATTTAGGGATTAAAATGTCCTGCGGGTTTAAACCCAGGTTTCAGCCATGGCAATGCGAGTGGCAGTGAGAGCGTGACAACGTGTGCATTGCGGGTGACAGTCCGCGTGTACGTGTGACAATGTGTATGCGAGTGACAGTAAAAGTATGACGGTGTGGAGTGTGCATGAGTGATAATGTGAGTGATAGTCTGCGTGTGTGTGAATAAGTGTGTGTGTGAGCACAAGAGCGTTTTTCTACGTTGTTGTGAAATGCATCCGTGACCTCACATGTCCCCGGTCTGACTGGAGACAGAAGCTTCAGTTTTCAACTGCAGATGCAATGCACCCAGTGAATGGGGATTACAACACAACAAAGATACAGTTCCCCTGTATAGCCTTGAACAGACAGTGCTGTTAGCGGGCACCTATGAAGGCAAGCACGGCACACAAGGGGGTACGTGGCAAACACCACGCCCAGCTTACATTGTTTCCCTAGTGGCGATATTAACACACCGCACCAGGTACTGATTTAAGGCTGAGTCAACCTAGGGGAGGGCCCAGAACTGGTTCAGATATTCGAACTCAGGCGGCCGGGGTCGTAGTGCAATGCATAAACCACTGGCACCGCTCCCAATGCGTGCACACACACACGAACACGCGTGTGGGCACACGTCACGCACACATATACACGTTACGCACACGAGCAAGTTCTCAAATTTGTAAGTAGCAAGGGAAGTCATCATAGAAGAACAAACAGTTCAGACAGGGAACCCGCACGTCTCTAAAAGACATAAACGCGTACAAATAGCACCAGGACTTGTATGCGTCATACCAAAAGTATCAACAGTTCCTGAAGTGCTGTCTCCAACTTTCATTATCCACTCTAGTTCTCTGGCCTCTCTTATTTAAGTGACATGAAGCAGGGCCATTGCTCATAACGTCGCCTATTATATATGTTTTTGTCAGGCCACACACAGTGTTGTTATTGACGTGCAGTGTGTTGTTGTTCATTGTGTTTGTGCACCACTGCCAAATACAGCAGTAGCAGCAGCACGTGATTTGCACTGTGGTCCTCTTGTCTTTGGTGACCATGAAAGTAAACATAAGTAAATGTGACGGCGTAGGTTTTGGCGGTCATTCCTATGTGAGTGGCACTCTACTCGTGTTAGGCTCGCACAGCAGCCGCGTGTTGTTCGGCGTCGGACGGCGCAGCGCAGCCGAATTTAGCTCCCGACTCGGCGTGCGGAGCGAAACGTCGGACGTCACTCCGCATGGCGCGTGGCACAATGTGGAAACGCGCCGTTTTACGGTTTTCAGCTTCACGCCCTTTTCGCATAAGGTGGAAAATCGTATTTTAATTTTTTATCTTGAACAGCTGTTAGCATAGCAGGGCATCACCGCCTCCCCACCGTGGAAAGCATGCTACTAACTGCCCGTGTGGCCTGCAATCCTCAAACTAACGATGACCGAGCTCTGGTTAAGTCACTTGGTTCCCACGTGGCTCGGGGTTGGGGAGGGCTCATTACGGATTGGAGGAGACGCTCAGCCTGCACCGCTGAGTTTCTGGGTTTGGTAACAGGTTTGGGTATGGGTTGAGGTACAGATTTGGTTCCAGGTTTAGTTCCGGGGTTGGTACCGGTTTGGGTTATGGGTTTCAGAGACCGGGCCCTCCTGGGATCTCAGTTACACACTACCTCGCGCTGTCATGCTCCAGAAACGGACGACGGCGTGCGTACTGCTGGAGAAAGAGACGAATTGTGCCGTGCCTTGTATCGGCACGATATCTGACGTTTCAGTACCATGTGTAGGGAGCTTCTTCAGCAACTGAAATGAGCCGTTCACCTTGTCCCTCGATTATACAGCATTGCAAGAAGCTCCCCAGGCAGCACGTGGAGCGATATGTCAGACATCGTGCCAAACAAGAACAGCAACCTTAAAAAACGTCGGAAAGAAAAAAACACAAAAATCTTGGATCTGACAATGGTACAGCCGCTGCGTGCAAAGCTCCGGTTAGTGAGTGCTGCGGTTACGTGACTTCCCAGACTCTCCTCGTTACCCTGGGACGTGGGATGGGGAGGAGGGTGCCGGGGGCACTCTGCTGGGAAGGATCGAGTGTGCGCTCACAGCCATAATCCGGTGTCGATTGGCGAGATCGCGAGCAGTCGGTAGGGGGGCCGCAGTAGCTAGGTGGTCTGAACCCTCGTCCCACTAACCGACCGGGCCCTCTTGAGATTTTTTTTTCCCATAATGGCGTAGAAAGGTGCAGCCACTGTCGGTGTCGGTTAGTCTGCGATGCTGAGATGACCTCGCGGGAACTTTTGTCAGAGAGCCGCTGCCTTCACCACTGTTGCCCCGTTGTGTTACTGCGTGATTCTATTGCCGCACGTCCCCATTGATTGCTGTGTCCTAGATCACTATCAGGTGGCAGCAATCCTGCCCCCCCCTCCCCCAAATTCACTGCCGTTGCTTCCAATTCACTGCTTTCCCCCTCTTAAGTTCACTGCCACCTCCTACTTCACAATTCATTGTCACCGTGAATACTACTGCTCCCCTAATTCGCTGTTCCCCCCCACCCCTATCACTGCCCTCTTCTTTTGACTCTTGCTGTTGATTTCACTGCCGTCCCTTTTCGGTCTCCTCCTTTTCACAGCTGCTGCTCCCATCACACTCTGCCACTCCCATTACAACCGCCCAGCATCCCCCATCCCCCACCGTGCTGCGGTGGTGAGATGTTATCTCCCTCCCCTGGTATGCAGGTCTTGGGTTCGATCCCGACCCTGATGCCTATATAGATGTTTTTTATACAGGCGTCAGTTTTCACTTCCACATTTAGAATGAACATGCGTTTAGATTTTTTTTGCTGCTATAAATTTCCACGCGATAAGCCACTTTGTTGAGATATAATTTATGGCTAGGTGGCTTCTCAAAACGAGAGACGTAGCTCAGTGGGCCTTACCTGGTAAAATACATTTTTAGTTTATCTCACCATCTTCCATGACCCCCGCCCCTTCGCCATCACCACCCCTTTCCCCGTCTAGGTGCGAGGGCTCCCCGAAGCGTTCGAGGAGGCGGGAGTCGGCTCCAACTACTCACGCCACTACGTGGACAAGACGTGGCGCGCGCTGCAGGACTTTCGCGAGGGAAACGCGATCTTCACGCTGCCCAACACCCCCATCAAGTGCGCCGGCGCCCCCCAGAAAATCATGTACCTGGCCGACGACTACATGCGCAAGGTGCGCCGAGCACCGGAACTCGGCAACCAGCGGCACGGGTTACCATGGGTTATCATGGATTACCATGGGTTACTGTGGGTTACCGTACCACCACTAGGCAGTTTTCGGGCTGTTGCCACTCACGCGTTGTCCGGCGTTTCCTTCTGCGTGCCAGCCAGCTTCTTCTGGAACTGGAATTTAACAAGATTCCCGTCACATGCAGGGACACCAGAATCTGAATCTTTATGTAGATTGAAGGAGAAATCCGATGAGCTATGAAGCTCTTTTTGACAGATGTCCAGTAGAGGCAGGTCAGCAAGTTCTAACAGCAAATTATACACAAAAAATAGAAGTGCAAATATATAGAAATATTTATAAGTAAAAAGTGCGTAAGTACATACATTCCTTCCAGTATTTCAACACTAAATGCAAGCTTGGGCAAGGCAGCAAAACAACAACAAAAACAGTCCCCAGCCCACACTAAGACAACACGCAACGCTTGACATTGTACCTAACACATGCCGGCACAAACCGGACAACGTGAGCCAGGCGGACGTTAGATTCCCAGTGAAGGGGTTAAAGTGAGGTGACGGTTTCTTGAGCAGGGCACGTCAAGGTCAAGAGTTAATTTTGGTTGATGCCACTGTGATGGCAGCGCCTGCCTTGCCATCACTTTCCTCCACATGCTAGATCCTGCAGTTGTCGTGAAGTTGCCTTTCAAAGCCCAGCCTCCCAGTCTGTGCCAATCTGGCTCGTAAGCCTGAATCCACATTGTAAATAAAAAACAATACAGATCGATTGTGAAGTCAAATCGTGGTGTCAATCATGATGATTCTTCGTTCCATGAAAGGGGCAATTAGAAACATACATATAGTTACAGGCTGCCTATAAAGCTATCGTCCGTTATTGAAGGATTAGTAACTTAGGCATAAGTTTGAACATTGTTCGATTCTAACCTTCCTCGATCCGAGGTCTAAGCGCGAGATGGACTCTCCTCTATCCTACATCACAGGGCCCTGTCTATGGCAGTCTTTGTGTCGAATTGTCCCCATACTGAGCCCTGTCCAATCGGCAACAGCGTCGTAATCCCGAGCTCTTCTGGGGTCGGCCTCAGCCTCACTTTCCTGGCTTATAAAATACACACAGGTTTGAGCACGTTTGGAAAAAATTACACGAGCATTTGGTCGTGTGAATATTTTTTGTTTACCTTATAAGGCTCATCGCCCTAACCCTGTACATGTCCACCACATCAAATCGAGAGTCGAGAGGGCCCTAGGCATTTGCCACCTTCTCAGCTGTGATAGCTTTTCGAGTGTGACCAGAATGTGCCATCTAGCTCACCCCAAGGGATTTTTAATTAGACACTTTACATTCGCTTATCCTCAGCATTCCACCACACAGTTCAAACTTGCTCTCTCATTATAATTGTTTAATAATGTTGGAAATAGAGCTTTGTGTTGCACTGCAAGACCGTGAGAGATGCTGGATAGACAATGGATATCTCGTGTATTGATGACAATGGTGATTGATGATGATGTGTTAAAACAAGGAGATAATGGATGATGGTCAAGAATAATAACGGAGTGGCAACCGAGGACTGGAACGTGTCCAAGAGGACATCCAAGGAGAATAGAGTGATATTGGATCATGTGCAGGTGCTAGGGTGTGTTATTCAAATTCAGGATCGTGGAAGGTGGTGGTGACTTGGGGCCGCCTTCATTCAATAGATTGACCATGGTAGATAAAGCTAATTGATGATGGTGGATAACGGATAATGCGTACGAACAACTCCCGTATTTTATTCTAATTCTTAAAATTCATTTTTTTCAGACGGGCAAGCGAGACAAGGCGAACTTCCATTTCTGCACATCTCTGGCCGTGATGTTCGGCGTGAAGAAGTACGCGGATGTGCTCACCAAGATCGCCGCCAAGCGCAACATCGCCGTGAACTTCCGCCACAACCTGGTGGAGGTTCGCGCCGACCGGCGGGAGGCCGTCTTCGAGAAGCTCGACCAGCCGGGCGAGACCGTCACACTCGAGGTTCGGCAGAAGCGTTGACTGTATGGCCTCTGTCCATCCATCTGTCTGAAATTATTAAAACTATAAACTTAACTTTCTATTTAAAGCTTTCGTGACTGCAGGGATTCATCTTCTTGGTTCTTTCGGTAAAGTCACGTAGAAGGGAAATAATAAAATAATGAAATAATAAAAATAAAACATAATAAAATAATTCTCACGACGTTTCAGCCACAACGCAAGCAGCCGTCCTCAGGTGAAGACCAGGTCTGTCGGGGAGACAGCTTCACCTGAGGACGGCTGCTTGCGTTGTGGCCGAAACGTCGTGAGAATTATTTTATTATGTTTAATTTTTATTATTTCATTATTTCCCTTCTACGTGACTTTACTGAAAGAACCAAGAAGATATAAACTTAACTCTTTCTACTTTATCAGGTAAAGCACATTGAACTTTTACGTCTTTTTTTTAGTCAGGTCCCGCAATTTTCATATCAGAGCTCTCCGACACATTTGGCCACTATTGAGTAGTGACATAGCCAACACAGTGGCATGTAGCATATTATCGACAAGGCTCAATTATTGCAACTCACTCTTCTACGGGACGTCTGCTAAAAACAGCAAGCTACGCTTCTGCGGCCGTCTGGAATGATGTTCCTTCAGATATTAGGAAGCCACTGGAGATATGCACTTTTAAATCTACATTGAAACCTAATTTCTTTAAACTGATTTTTGTGTTTAGTTTGTTGTCCTTCCACCTCACCTCCGATTAGCACAGTTGGCTATATACGGTGCGAAAGAAGTTCAACATACATACATACTAATGATAGCTGAATGAAGTGGCTTATCACGTGTAATTTTATAGCAGCCAAATCATCTAAATAGATGTTTATAAATGTGGAAGAAAATCCAGAGGACCTGGACAAAAATCTACGCGACCAAGGGGAGAACATGCAAACTTCAAATATACAGTCATCAAGGCCAGGACCAAACCCATGAAATCCTGCATTCCACACGAAGGAGATAACATTTCGCCATTGTGGCACCTAGAGATGGCCCAATATGAGTTCAACGTTAGTACAGGTGTCCCTTAATTTACGAAAGGAATGGGTTCTTTAAAAAAAACACGTAGAACGAAGTTCCATAAATTGGAATGGCCTTTCCCATAAACTTAATATAAAAAAATAGGAATGTGTTTCGGCACAGGGAACTAGATCATTCCAACTCTACTCATAACCAAAACATATACACCTATAGCACTTTAAGAAATACAAAAATAAAGAACATAAATATTAAAACGATTGAATAATAATGAATTAAAACATATTTTTATAACCTTTTCATGGAGCTCACCAAAACATCTGCATGTTGGAATGACTGGAAAGGTGATGTGGAGGCGTGACTGTTCAACTGTAGGGACACCGTGACGCTGTCGTGGATGGATGACGTTGTCTTCCGGGTGGCTCTTGTTTGATATCGTGGTGCATGCCGAATTAAATTTCGTTTACGTGGAAATTCGATTTCGTAAATCAAAGAGTGTCTAGAATTTGCCAATTACATTGACGCGAAATTTCGTTAATCGAACGTTTCATAAATCGAGGGATGCCTGTATAAGGGACCTACCCTAGATCAAATCAGCCTCATTGATAAAACGGTTGCGCAAAACATGGCGACATAAAATCGGCGTGAAATGCACAAACCTTTTAGTTCAACCCTTCTGAGCAGCAGTGGGTCAGTAGTTAGCATGCTGCACTCCAAACCCAAGTTTGATTCCCGCTCATGGACGATAACAGTGGCAAATATTTGAACGGGTCGACGGCCTCCCATAGGTTTACTCAGCCTTATATGAGTACATTGTGTGCTGTGTATACATCAGTTCTGGGGAGACAATGGCAGCCGGTCGCGGTGCTGGGTGACCACCCCGGCGTTCGTAGATTGCTCGCTGGCAGCACTCGCCCCAACAGTCTGTTAAAGGCCACACGGGGGATCTTTGCCTCTGTGCGCGTGCAGTACAACCTGCTGCACGTGACGCCGCCCATGGGCCCCGTGAACGTGCTCAAGGGCAGCGCGGTGGCGGACGCCGCCGGCTGGGTGGACGTCGACAAGGGCACGCTGCAGCACAAGCGCTACCCCAACGTGTTCGGCATCGGAGACTGCACCAACATCCCCACCTCTAAAACGGCCGCTGCCATCGGTGAGCACACCCGTTAGCACGCCCACGTGTTAGCATGCCCGTTAGTACACCTGCTCGTTAGCAACATGCGTTAGCATGCCCTCTCGTTAACACGCCGGTTAGCCCGCTGCCCAGTTAGCATGTTCTCTAGCTCACCCGCCTATTAGCACGGCTATTAGCACACTTCCCCGTTAGCACGCTCGCTCACTTGTTGGCTTACTTGCTCGCTTGTTAGCAGGTTAGCACACATGCTTGCTTAACCGTTGGCTTATTCAGCATGTTCGTTCGCATGCTCGCTCACAAACTAACGCGCTTACTTATAAAAAAAAAACTCACCTACTTATGAGCTCACTCATTAGCACACTCGTTCACTCGTTAGCACGCTCGCTCACTCCTTTATTTGCATCCTATAGCTCACTCGCAGTCTCCTTCTCTTACTCCCGCACTCTCGCTTGCATGCCCGCTCACTCCCTCTAGTGGCTGTAGACGACAAGCCAAGCTGTTGAGCTAGAGGAGACATCTGTTCATGTTTTGTTGATTACTAACAACGCAGACGTCCTTTGGAATTGACTGTTCATGCGTCCGTCCATCGCTTCCTCTGGACGTGACGTCCTGCCAGCCAGCCACATTTGTTTTGCATATCGTATGATATTGAAGTTATGCAGCTGTTGAGAGAGGTCCCAGTCAGCTTGACTCTGTGCCGACATTTGCAGGCCGTCCAGAGGAAGTGATGGACGGACATAAAGAAATGAACGGAAGTCCATCACTTCCTCTTTATTTACACAAGTTTATAAGTACAAATAGTAAAAGTAGATACTTTTCTGCCGATTTTTCAACACTAGATGTAAGCTTGGCAAGGCAACCATTAGACCGGTTCGCGTCCCGACCATGTAAACACAGGGGTCCCATTGTAGTGACAACAATAATAATAATAATCTGGTATATTTGATGGATAGGGCAGAGGTTAGCCCAATGGATTACAAGCCCGGCAACCCAAGTTCGATTCCCACTCACACCCAACATCAGTGATGAATATCGGAACTGGTCCTTGGACTCCCCGAGGTCGACTCTGCCTCAAATGAGTACCTGGTTTGGTGTGTAAACATCGTCATTGGGGAGACGAAGGCGGCTGGACGTGGTACGAGCCACACCACCCCTTCTTGTGCCATGTTGGCCTTCATTGGTGCTCTCTAACTGCACTTAACCCTACAGAGTCTATATGGCTATACAGGGATCTTTGTATTTGTGTGCGTTTGAGGAGCGGTAGCTGTAAACCCGATGACCTGACTTTGGTTTTCGCTCACGGTCAACATCAGTGACGATTATCTGAACTGATCGAGGACCTCCTCGAGTTAAACTCGGCTTTAAATGAGTGCGTGGCATGGCGTGTAAACATCGGCACTGGGGAGAGACACCGGCAGTCTCAAACGTGGTGCTGGCCAAACCACCTCACTGTGCACCGTGCCGGCCTTAATAGGTGCTCGCTCACATATATTATTGGCTAAATGAGGGACCTTTTGTCTTTGTGTGTGTGTGTGCGTGCGTGTGTATCCCCATGTATGCAGCTGCCCAATCGGCCGTACTGGACAAAACAATCTCGAGGGTGATGAAGGGCAAGGCCATCTCGCACGCGGTAAGCTATGTTTCACTCATGGGTAGGGCAGAGCTTAGCGCAATGGATTACGAGCCCGGCTACCCAAGTTTGATTCCCACTCACACCCAACATCAGTGATGAATATCGAAACCGGTCCTGGGACTCCCCTAGGTCGACTCTGCCTCGGTCCGGGGGTTCGCAGTTCGACGTGAGCCAGCGCTCCCCCTTGACCCATGTTCCCACGACGTAGATCCCCATGCTTAGCGCGGCCCACTGATTTACGTCAACCCTTCCACCCCTTGGTCGAGTACGTCTTCATCTTCCACTTGCCCTTCTGCTTTTCCCAAAAAGGAGGAATATGAGCCTCATCACTACATGTCCATCTCTCTCTGTCTGAATAAATCCGACATTTGTTTGGCAACATCCAATTACAGGCAGTCCCCGAGATACGAATGTCCAATTTATGAACATCCGCACTTAAGATGTTATAATTTTTTACCATGTGACTTGCGAACAACCGGTTGTACTTACAAAACCAAACCGCGTGATGCATACCCCTCTGACGAGCCAGCTAGCATCAGGATGCAAGGACTGTGAAAATATAAAGGATATTTTTGCTTATGTTACTTAATTTAATATTTTATTTACTATCCAGTATTTATTACACTTATACATGCCCGTATTCACAACGCTTTTTAAAAATTATTTTCTTGTCCTTCATATTCTCGTCATGCTTCCTAAAAAATTTCTCTCCTTCGAGTGGTTTCCTTTGTCACTTTTTTGTTCATAGTTTTTCTTGTCTATCAGATTCTCAGCATTGCACTAAAGCACAACATCTCATGCAATATCTACAGTATGTATTAATGTTGAACTTCTTTTGCACCGTACCTAGCCAACCGTGCGAATCACTGATTCAGTGTCCTAGTCTGACATCACTCGCAAGAGTAGGCCAGTGTGTGCCGGCATCAGGGTCCTTAATTCGGCAAATTCGAAAATGAGGCTGCAAGTTACTCTTTTGGGATCTTATGCGATAAGCATCGCCCCCTACTGGAAGACAAACTACCACGGCTACTCTTGCAAATGAGACTCCGTCCTGGTCTCTTGCATTCTGACCTGGTTAAACGAAATAATTTGAAACTTGTTTTAATTTATTTTTTTAATGATTCATACCTTGTCTTTTTGAATTCTAACATTGGCAGAAAACCCTGCTTGTTCGGTTTATGATGTTCCCCTGCTAACTCAGCACCACATGGCCATATAGCATATTAACTGTAGATAATTGTCATATCTGGTATCTTAAGCACGTGTTTTGCAATGCCGTAATATTGAATGGACGATTGCGGGCGTTACATTTTATATTTGTCCATTCCTTTGTGACCATAAGCGTGCGTGCCCATGTGTGTGTCAGTGTTTTGGAGGCAGTCACCCTCCTACAAAAATGAAGGGCAGAGGAGTGACGCTCACAACAATGAGCAGATCGCCGGGTGGCTAAATCGCAGAAAGTGGGCACACTGGGGAGCACAGTTGGTGCATCTGCCAGTTATCTCAGTCAACCCATGACACCTGGGTCTGTTCTGTGACCTCCTGCCAGCAGGCCTTCGACACTTCACGTCGCCTCAAAGTGCACCTAGCATGGCACAAGCCCCGTGGTGACATCACCGCCACTTAGTGATGAATGGCAGTTGTTGTTGTTACATGTGTGCCTCTGTGGGGAACAGGTGACGCAGTGATTAGTGCACTGTCCTATAACCCTGACGACCCGAGTTAGATTCCCACTCATGGCCAACACCAGTGATGATTATCTGAAATGGTCCTGGGCCTCCGCTAGGTCGACTTAGCCTCAAATGAGTACCTCGTGCGATGTGTAAACATTGCCACGAGGGAGACAAAGGCGGCCAGGCATGGTGCTGGCCACCCATCCCCTCGTGTACCGTGCTGGCCTTCATAGGTGCTACTTGCAAACAGCACTTGCCGCAACAGTCTGTTCAGGCTATATTGGGGGATCTTTGTCTTTGTGAGACCGTGTATGTGTGCCCATGTTTATGTTCACTTGTGTGTTTGTGTGTCCGTCCATTGCTGCATGGTCACGCCCACGTACCTGCCCGTCCGCGCGCGTCACGGTGCAGTACGATGGCTACACGTCGTGCCCGCTCGTCACGAGCTACAAGACGTGTGTGCTCGCCGAGTTCGACTTCAACGGGCAGCCCCTCGAAACGTTCCCCTTCGACCAGGGCAAGGAGCGGCGCACCATGTACCACCTCAAGGCCGACGTCATGCCACCACTCTACTGGCACGGCCTGCTTAAGTACGTGCCCCACCGCACCCCACCACACGCCAGCGTGCCTCAGCGCATCCCAGCGCTCGGCCGGCCGAGCTTTGCTAGTCAGGGCACCACAGTAGCGAGGTGTTATCTCCCTCGGCTGGTATGCAGGAGATCGTCGGTTCTATTCCGACCATGACGATGCCTGTATATATGGAGTTTGCATGTTCTCCCCGTGGTCGCGTGGATTTTTCTGTGGGTCATTTAGTGTCTCCCTCCACATTTAAAAACATGCGTTTAGGTTATTTGGCTGCTACTATAAATTTCCACATGATAAGTCACGTCGTTGAGCTATCATTTGTGGCCGGGTAACTTCTAAAATAAAAGCTAAAAGCTTAGTGGGCCTTACCTGGTAAATAAAATAGTTTAGCTTAGTTTTTTATTTAGCTCTCCGAGCAACGCCGCAAGCGTCAATGCATTTCCTTCGTCTGTCTTGCCTGTAAAATTTAAGATCAAAAGTTATTTCCTGCAGCAATGAACACTGACAGTTAATGAGCACCTGGGACCCGAGCAGTTGTGCAGTTGCAAATATTGTTGTTTTTGGAGTAAACCTGGCAACAATTTAATCCACAACACTCACGCAAAATCGGCAAGGTGCTGTGCATGTGTCAGCATCGGCACTTGGGTGGCCGGGAGTGTGCAGTGCTGGCCTTCCTATCACCCCCTGCCGTGTGCTATTGTGCCAACTGTAATAGCTGAACACAGATAACATGTCTCCTGACATGGTAACCAGACTAACGTGTGATTCTTTGTCTCTGGTTGTGTCTGTGTGTTTTTTCAGGGGTTTGTGGGGTGGACCAGGGATTTACCGCAAAATTATGCACCTGGGCTTCAAGTGAAAATCTTACCCATGATACACTGCGTCGCCAACCCCCTCTACGACCCCTTCCCTCCGTCAAATCACGTCACTACTTGAGCGAGTTAAAATGGCCACTTGTTGTGGTCCTTCCTCTCATGAGAGTGAGTTTTTAGTTTTATTGCCAGATCTCGCGTTGTCTCCCATTTTGCGTTTTCCACGTGAGTAAACTTGTTTCTTGTCTTGTCGCGTTGACGCCGCACAAAGTTTTGAGGTTCGCACAGATGGGTTGCTCGGTATGGTCACGTATGTGACAGTCTTTGCCTAGAATGACAGCCTTCATTTGTACACGGCTCCCGAGTGCAGCTGATCACGTAGAACAAATTCCGAGCATTTAAATCGGAAGTGAATTCACCTCGACTTGAAACCTGGCTTTTTATGTTCTCACGTGACAATTGTCGCTTGTTACAGGAAGCCAGGCATGGGGATGCCAGCTCACCTTTTCGGGACGCATCAACGATTGCAATGTGGCCATATAACAAAAGTTAATTTCAACAGCTGTTCAATGTGGTTTCTTTGCATTGCTTACATGTCAAGTATTGGACCATGAGTAATACTTGCCAAATCAGACATTAATCATCCCCGAATAATGATGAGACTTACAATTATCCACACCTATGAAAAGGAGATGCTTTTAGGGAGTGAGGAGATAAGGAAGGAGAGCAGCTTCTGCTTTCGTGTGGGATTATACAAATCAGCAATCATTGCCCCACTACTGGCCCACTTAACTTCCCAAGTCACTCCTGCATATGAGACTCGTCCTGGTCTCTGTGAATTCTCGCTCTAGTTAAACAAATGCAACATAACTTCCCAGATGTTATCGGACGGCTTTAGTTGCCCCCCGTTTTGAGATAGGTAAATATCCTCCTCCCCATCTCCCGGAGTTAACACTGATCTTCAGCACCGTTATTGGGACTCACTGCACTGCAAACACATCTCGCATAGACACTATATTTTTGCATTAAGGGAGAAATTTGTAATAATGTTTCTTTTTTTATTGTTTAAAATGAAAATGCATAGACGGTTACGTTTGTGCGTGTTTGAATCGTCGGCAGCTGCCGCCACTGTGATGTTACTGATGGCAATGGTAATAACGACGACAGCTGTCTTTGGGAAGTAACACAATAAAATTTGCTTGTGGAGTGACTTTAACTGTGATACATTCTCTACTTTTCTTTCCATCTTGTTTGGTATTTTTCTCTAAGTTGTGTTCCCAATTGTGTGATCGGTGTCATCTCCCGAGACCAGGGATGCTGTACCCAGCCGCGGCTCGGCTCCCAGGTTAACACTCGGGCCCAGCGCACGCTTGAGTCAGTTTGATTGCTTCCTAAAGACGCACGAGTTAGCGGCTCATAGCCATCATTATTTGGCTTGTAGGATACCTGAGCACGGCTGGAATCCTGCTCAAGAGCCATGGCTCACTTGAGCCACAGCCAAGCCTGAGACGAGCCACGACTAAAACTATGGAACTGAAAATCCATTCTGATGCAGGGCAGTGCGAGCTGTGTTACACACATTTGTGTCACAAATTATTTGAAGCTTTTGGTGTCTTGGCAGGGGTGCATAAGCCAGTCTTTGTGCTTGTTGAGGATGGGCCCGAGTTAATCAAGAACAGCAGTGATGTCGTTTTGTAATTGAGCTGCAAATGAATTGACCATCAATGCAGGATTTAGACATGCCGATGACGACCGGATGCATGCTCTGACGGAAAGCATCGTGGTCCAATTGTTTCCAGTCCCTGGATGACAGCATTGTGACGGATGGACAAATAATCAGTAATACCACTTTGCACGTCACGAGACTATGATCTGCAATACCGTACCAACCTCTTTGATAATAACGTTGGTCACAGTTACAGCATCTGCGGATGTGAAGATGTGATTCAGTATATTGCCGAGTGACATGTTGCGACACTTGACGTATTGGGTTAAACTGTGACTGTCGATAATATCGGCGAGATCACTGCTGTTTTTACCAAAATAACTAGTTGGTCCGGGACAGTTCAGGTCACTTAGATGACGTAGCGAGAGTCAAGTGACCCACAGTCTAACAGACTGGAAATCTCAAAAAATAATTCCAACAGTGTTAAGGATGGCAGTCCATAGATGACAGCCATAGTAAATCCCCGCATGCTGTTATTTTCACAAGCAGCAAAATTCGTGATTTTCACGCAGATATTTTCACGGTGAATAATTGCAATCCCTCTACCAAGTGGGCTGCCGGTGCCAGGCTTTCCACGACGGTGATGATGTACAATAGCATATTCGTTAAGTGCAGCCTCAAACTTAATTACCCAGGTTTCGGTCACGGCCAATATGTCGCGTCCACTATTGTTGATCAGGTGCTAGATTAGTGCCGTCTTGTTGACTACGGAGCGTACATTTGTAGTGGATTAATGCGCGCCAAGGGGGGAAATTGTAAACACGTGTGGGTTATGGACAGTGGGGTCGCATCAGGACAAGCAGGTGTTGCTGGGGGATAACGGCCGGAGAGAGACGGCTCGTTAGGTAATTATGGGATGCAGGGCAGTGATTGGCCGGTTGTTGTCAGGGACAAGGTGGCGCCAGCAAGTCTGGGGATGGGAGCAGGTGGCGGCGGGGGGGGGGGGGACGCCGGTTAATTAATTGGAAATTAATGAGGACGGGGATAAATACGGGAGCGTGGGAGTGAGACGGAGACAAGAGGGAGATACAGTCGGAGTGAGACAGAGAGACCGAGAGAGAGTGAGACAGTCGAAGCCGAGACAGGCGAAGCAGAGAGGAGAGTCGGGGAGAGAGACAGAGAGAGGAAGGGAACGGAGCGAGTGAGGCCAGCGGAGCACGGCGAGCGAGCAGAGAACGCGCTGAAGTCTTGGTTGTGGAATGTCATGATTTTGGTAAAATAAAGTGACGACGGAAAAAGAATAAGTTGTCTGCGTAAAGTTCAGCACTACACATTGACCAATCCAAAATTGAGGAGCCCTGGTCCCGGGTTTTGCTCGATACCCGACATCAGTAGTATGGCGATGAAGGCGCTCTTCCGTGATCGTTGTGGATGTAGGGCAGAAGAACTGACCAGATCTACAGCACAACCATGTGCGAGGCATTGCAACAAGTGACGAACACAGTCGGGTAGAGGTCAGTATTTCCACAGCAGATCGTCGCACAGTGGGTGTGGAACTCAAGTAGCTTCAACCGGAAAGTTGACCAATCGGCATTCCCTTCTGCATGTTGGATGTTGGGCCGAGTCTGCTGGTGACACCCACCGCAGTATCAGCGATGTTTGGGTGAGATGCCTGTGTAGAGAAGACCCTTCAATTTCGTGGGGGTTACGTTCTTGGAAAGTGACGCAAATTCAGCTAAAACTGCGATATTCAATCTTTAAGCCTTACTTAAATAATGGTAAGGCTTACAATCGATGCACGTGCAGCAATGGAATGGTAGCAGAGTGTCTGCGCTAAAGAATTAGAAAAACCCATTTTTTCACGCGGGTTTTCCAATTGTAAGTTGATTGGCCATGCAATCGCTGGATAACTTATCGGGTCAGATTGGTTCTGCATGCAGAGAGCTCATCATATTCTCCACAGGTGTGGGTGATTGAACTTAACACATGATGAGTATAATCAACCAATGGGCTGGGAGCAATGAATAGCCAGGGGAAATATATAAAGGAGGCAGCACTCGGACAGTGCGGGAAGCAACCCAAACATGACAACATTATGGAGCAGGGGGGACACCACGTGGCCAGCCAGAGACGACGACCAACAGAGGTGTAAGCGTTATAGGAAGAGCCAGTCAGGGAGAATGTAAAGAAACCTTTACACCCACTATGAAAGTTGAGGGTGTCTGGGTAGAGGGAGATCCTATAATAGTTCCCCCTCTGTTTTCAGGGAGCCTGGTGGGGGAGCCAACCTGGGGAGCAGAGGTGAGCAAGTACAGGAGTTGACTGGCGTAACCCAGAGTCGCCGAATTCCTGCCTTAGATGTCCTGCTACTGAGTTTCCTGGGAGGAAACCGGACACCAGTTTTGAGTGACGTATCGTTGTGGAAGTACTCGTAGTCAGGCATGTGAGCCGTACTTCAGAGTATTGAGCGTGCATGTTCTGAACCGTGGGTGTTTCACTGAGATGAACACAGGAGAGGTAACTGAGGGCACATGGTGATTGTTGTACAGAACGATGTGGAACAATGTGCCTATAACTAATTTAGGATGAGCGAGTGTGTAAGCAAGACTTCTATCTGGTGCTCCAAAGTAAGCCACAGCTCATTGTCCAGGGGCTTCCCTAGTCTTGCGTGGTTAATTCGGCCCTAAATGTAGGTAATGTTAACACCAGGCTACCAGTGTTTGCATTGATCAACCTACAATAATATCAGGTGGCACCAGTGTGGTGCAACTCCTAACTCATTCAGTTGCTACATGGGTTGGTGACTGACAACCTGTGTACCAACTGGCCGAGCAAGAGTTTGTGTTTGAGCGCAATCGCGCCGGTAGCTGTACCAGGGAGTTTGGTGCAACAGTGTTTAGGTGTAGCAGGGAGTTTGGTGCAACAGAGTGTTTGTGCAGCAGGGTGTCCGGATTGTGTCGGCACACTGCCCTTCTATCCGGAATGTCCTAGGGTGAGCTCCATTAAACGTTAACTCGGACCCCAACCTGTCTAAGCGCCTAATCTCGGAACGTGGTTCTCACCATCGTACCTCACCCATTTTACACGTCCTGGTTTTACAAATGTTGATAGATGAACTGGATGGCAAGGGTCTGGAGGACCCCACATGGAGTCTGGTTTCTCACACCTGAGCCTCCAGTGACATGTCTGGAGGCTTGTCTGGGATATTTGTTAAGTCCCATTTATTGAGTGCGGATTTGGCTGGCTTCATCCCAAGATGTCATCCAGTTGGGGAAATACCCGAAGGTTGTGGGGAGTCGCCCCGTGCTTCAGTTTCTTTCCAACCCTCGCTATGGCCGGTTGCTCATCAGCCAGAAATATTTTGCTGCGTACACCACGACCGAGGTGTTTCGAGCAACCATCTCGTGGCTGGTCGGCAATGGAGTTGGTGTTGTCGATTAGGGGAGCGTGAGTCTGTGGCGTTGGTGGTGCTGCTGTCACGGAGGCGACATGAGTTTAGGAAATTCAGTTTTGTGGGTTTCCTGTAAGGAGAACTGAAAGCTCCTCCCTTCCTCTATATCTACCCTTGTCTCTGCTGTCTCCATGTCCCCGTTCAACTCTTTCTACACCGCTTTCCTTGAATGTGCAGCCGCTCTCACAGCATCCCTTCAACCCCTTCTCTCCACCTCCAACCCATCGCCGTCGTAATCTCCTCCCCTTTGTTCAGGCTCTTGCCTTCCTTCCTCAGTCTATGGATGGGGTTATTGTTTATCGGGCTCGTATACAAAAATGGAGCTCATTTTAGCCTTTGAATAGGATTTTCTGTTTTCCTTCAGTAGCGTGTTGCGCACATAGGGAAGATCGAGCCACGCCACCGTTTCCCAATATTAAAATCGTTGTCGACTTGTCTCCCTCAGTAGGAATGCCGTTCCTTCTCCAGCAGGCAATTGTCTTCTCTCTTTCTCCTCTGGTATTTCTTCCAATGTGCTTTCTTAATCTCACTTGCTGTGTGTATCGACTCTATCATTCAACAAGGGCAAATTTTATGATTTGCTTTTTTTTTCTCCACTGCTCTACCACTATAGCTCCTGAGTGGGTACTCAGAGTTTCATCTAATGTATTATTTGATGAGTCGCTTCCACGCAGCACTAAGGTGGTAGCTATCCGAACTGTAAAAATGATTTTTATTTCTTTCAATTTCGATAGATTCTCGAATTATTCTTGGCCAGTAGTAGCTAGTTTTGCACAGAACTTCAACATCAAAATCAATTGAGTGTCCTTGTTGGCACGTGTGTTCTGCTTCTGCTGAACACGGGTGCCAACAAATAATACATTATTTAAATGCATGCCTATAAAGAGCAGCATACTTCAATAGGGATTACCGTTGGTACGGATATTTTAATACACACTAGACAGGAAGGACAAGATCAAAGGGCTATCATAATGCACATGCATCATGTACGTTGACTGTAATCCCCCCCTCCCTCACTTTGCGCGAGAGCGCCACAAATCTGGTTATCGCCTGAGGAAGCTAGTTGTAATTACTGGCAAAACGTCGTACTCCGATTGTA